TAAATTTTACCCTCGGGTGGCTCACCAAAGGGTGAGTCAACTTGGAAGAGCAACATCCTTCTCTAAATTTTACCCCTGCATGGCTCACAAAAGGGTGAGTCAAGTTGAAATGGCAACATCCTTCTCTAAATTTTCCCCCTGCGTGGCCCACAAAAGGGTGAGTCAACTTGGCATGGCCACTTTCCTCTCTAAACTTTACCTCTGCATGGCCCACAAAAGGGTGAGTCAAGTCGGAGTGACCACTTCCTTCTCTAAACTTTACCCTGCCCACAAAAGGGTGAGTCAAGTTGAAATGGCAACATCCTTCTCTAAATTTTACCCACCCGAGGGTCACCAAAGGGTTCTCAAAATTCTACCCTGCCCACAAAGGGGTGAGTCAAGTTGAAATGGCAACATCCTTCTCTAAATTTTACCCTCGGGTGGCTCACCAAAGGGTAAGTCAACTTGGAAGGGCAACATCCTTCTCTAAATTTTACCCTGCCCACAAAAGGGTGTGCGGCTGCACAGGCAAGGAATTGCAAAGAAATTCACCCAACACTCCAGTTCCAGTTTTGGCGGCAAGGGCGAGACGGTAGAACAACCAAACCTTGTCTGATGGAATGGTGGAATGGCCATCTGCCCTCCATGCCAGCCACAAAGCCCTTCTGCGTCGGGAAGAACAACGGCTGGCAGAAGAACGGCCCTGTTTTCGATCGGAAGCATTCTGACGCGTGGCATGAGCAGAGGCTCTGTGGAAGTCGCGTTTTTTCTTGGATGGTGACATGCAAACTCTTCCCCGATGAAAACTTCTTTGCTGGCGGAAACCAAAAAACTCCAACGAGGAGATCCAACGAGAGAGGAGCTTGATCACTGCCCACCCATGCCGGACGGACCGACACAGACACCGCACGAAGCGACCCTGATTTCTGACTGGAGCCCATTTGGCCACATTTCTACCGTTCATTTAAACAATTGATATCAGTTGATACTGGAACTCATCACTGTTCGGTTTCTGCTGACGAATGCATCACCTTTCACTGAACGGTTCGTTCATGAATAATTGTCCATTCGGTGACATCCCGACGCTTACATTCGATACTAAAGGCCCCCGACATTTAATTCTGTACTAAAACTCCCCGACGATTACATTCGGTACTAAAGCCCCCCGACAATTACGTTTTGTACTAAAACCTCCCGACAATTACTTTCTGTACTAAAACCTCCCGACAATTACTTTCTGTACTCAAACCTCCCGACAATTACTTGCTGTACTAAAACCTCTCGAAAATTACTTTCTGTACTAAAACCTCCCGACAATTACATTCTGTACTAAAGCCTCCCGACAATTACATTCTGCACTAAACCCTCCTGACAATTACATTCTGCACTAGGACCCCCCAACGTGACCTCTTCCCACAGTGCCGCATAAAAAAAAGAACCCTTAGCATAAAAAATGAAACCATTAGCATAAAAAAAGAAACCAGGAGCATAAAAGAAAGAACTGCAAGCATAACAGAAAAAACCATTAGCATAAAAAAAAGCACTATAAGCATAAAAAAAGAAACCCATACCCCAAAAGTACACCAACCCCGCTGTGAGCATAAGAAAAAAAAAACCATTAGCATAAAAAAAAAACACCCAGCCCATTCTTCACACATCCCCAAATCTCGAGAATCTTTGGAGAAACTCCGGCCTGCAACAATTCCATACAATTCCCCTTTCTCATCCTTTCTCCACTCCCATCCCACTGGCGAGACCAAGGTTTACGCACCATCCCGTGCCAAACGTGCGCACAAAAGAACACACGACGCGACTCGCAAGGTGTTCACCAAACGCGGCGACCAAAAACTGTCAATGTCGATCCTCCTTGAGCTGTTCGAACTCCTCACGCATCTCGGCATTCCACGTGAATCCTTCGGACTGCGTCTCGCCTTCTTCGCCTTCCAGTGCTTCTCCCTCCTCATAGTATTCTTCTTCGCCACCCTCACCGGCCTGGCCGAGACACATGAAAACAAGATTGGAAAGATACTGGCTGCGGTAAACTGTCACTTTTGAGTCGGGACATCAAAGAGATCAAAAGGAGTGTGTGTGACTGTTTGGTGGGCGAGTTTGCGTTCCAGGCCTCTTCTATGTGCATTAAAGATGCCCACTTCAGAAACTCACCTGCCACATATGATTCTAAAACATCCCCCATCTCTCTCGCCAGGTAGCCACCCCAAAACCTCCGGGGGCAGTGGGCCTAACCGTCCATCTCGACCCGTGCCCTTTCCCCGGTTCCCTCGCGGTTCCAGCGCCGCGGCCTCACCGGTGCCCACGCTGCGGCGGCGCCGGCGCACCGGCTGCGGCGGGCCGGTGTGCTCCACGGGTTGCTGGTCCGCCTCGCCCACTTGGATGATCACGCCCTCCGTCGAGCCGCTGGGGAACCCGGAACACGCGTCGCGTCGCTCGCGCGGCTGTGCGGTTTGGTGCGGTAAGAACGTTCGTTGAGTGGAGTGGATGAAGAGAGATCGCGGTCTTCACGGGTGGAGGGCTGCTATTAGCAGAGCTAGCTCTGAAAAAGGGACAGTCTCCTATTTTACGGTTCTTGAAGGGGGTTACTATCATTAATGGTCATGCTCGTGGGATTCGATCCACCATTGATTTAATCTGGACAACCATTGCTTTACAAAGGATGTTAGACTACAACACCAGGCTCAATCTTTATTTCAATGGTCGAACAGTTCAGGCGAACGGGTACTTTGTCCGACTTGTAGCCTGAACCTTTCCCCTTCCACTAGCGCAACCCTCGCACTGAGAGTCTATCCTAGGGAAGATTTCGCCTTCATGCCAGAACCTGGTGCCAGGAGCACTGCAAGGAGCGGTCAACCGGGTTGACCCAGGTCCCAACCAGAAACAGTTCTGGTGAAAGGAACTTCCCCCAGCCACTTCAGGCCACTTCCTAATACTTCCTATATCTCAAAAATCTGCCTCCCACCACCACGTTCGCTGTCGACGTGAACTGCACCCACCCCACCCACCGCACCCACTGCCACGTCCCAAGGACCACGTCGCGGATCCGAAAAACCTTCCGTCTCACCACGTAACCTGCCATGGCGACCAACAGAAGAACATGCGCCCAACGGAACTGAGTCCCTTTCAATGAAGAAGGGGACCTCCCAGAATTCTCCCGGTCGCGTCTCACATGCTTCCAGTTCACCCAACCTCAAAACGCCTCGGGAAAACTTCTCAGCCGCCGAAAATCACCGCTTGGCCTTCTCACGCCTTCCTTAACCCTGAACCTTGTGGAGTGTGAACCCAACCAACCGCGCTCAGGACAGTGCGCTCAGCCTCTCAACCGACCCGCGGTGAAGTGTGCCACCCTCGTTCCCCCCCGGTTCGGCCTTTTCCAGCATTGACAGGGCGAATTGCACGTGTGCCAAACGGCCACGTGCTTGTCCCACATTTGCCATCTTCTCTCGCAGAACACCACCCACCTGGCATGCACGTGGCCACGTGTTTCCCGGTGTGGTTTTTCAGACCACGGCATCCCAAAAATGGTTGAATTGACCTGCGGAATCCGCACGTCGCGTCCAGGTTTCTGGACCGACCATTTGGAGTTGTCGGTCACTGGTAGACCCATGTGGTCCAGGTCTACCAGGTCTACCCGTGACTCAGTGGATGAAGGTGTGACTCGAGTCAAGGTAAAGTCCGGTCATGAAGTGAAGTGGATGCCCTTGTGGGTAGACATACAAAACTGCCTGACAACTTGAGGCGGCCTGACGGTTAGATGTTGTTAGTAATAGCTGAAGGGTGAGGTCTTTTTTTCAGCAACCCCAAAACCATCCACAAATGCACCTGGATCTTCCAACGCAAAAGGTCTGCCTGTTCATCTACAAAAAGCAAGTGGCGTTTCTTTCACAAGGAAAAATACCTAAAAATACCGTTGCTTTGCTTCAATCCAAGCCGTCGAGCGTTTTCACTCGGTCTCCAACCTCGAAAGCTTCAATTGGGCCTTTTGGGCCAGACCAGTCGAACCCCCACCGTCCCGGCCTTGCCGTGCTTCTGGCGAATCCGTCCAATCCCTTCCTCGTGCTTCTCGCCTGAGCGCGGCTTCGGCGTTCGGGAGAAGCGGATCGGACCCGAAAGAGAGCAACGAACAAGGAGAACCTGGGCAACCCACCAAAAGGATCCAATTCGAAGGCACCATTTTTGAGCGACGACCTGACGACCTCAGTCGTAAGCGACCTGAGGGCGAGATGTCCCAAACGAAGAGCTCGAGAGAGGTCTTCAGCTTGCAGAATGTTTACACATGATGTCCAGGCTGGGGCTGGGGACCTACTATCAACTACAGTATCTATCAATGGTCTCCACCCCTACTAGCGATGGCCTCCAACCTAATAGCCTCCAACCCCACGGCCCCCGACAGCTGTGCCCGCCTTCACGGTTCTTCTTCACCGTGGCTTGTTGGGCTTGTTGCTCGGTGCGCGCCAGCTGCCCCGTGAGCTTGTTCACCTGGAGCACAAAAATCTGCAGAAACCCAAAAAACCAGCCGGATTTCAGGAGATACCACATTCCAGGACCCTCCTGGCCAGGCTGTTTGGAGACCCGACCACAGGTGGTTTCTGGACACCTGTTGTCACCAGGCACCTGTTGGAGGGTGCTGGTTTAAACATATTGTCTCAGAAACACGGTTTCCAAAACACTTGTTTCAGGTCCAGGATGCCCCTAGAGACCCATTCGGAGTCCAGGTGTTTCTTCTCACACTTCATCACTCACGCTTCATTCAGTCCGCCATCCACCTCCTGCAACATGTTGCTACCCTGTTGCATCAGCGCCGTTTCGGCGGAGACCCGCACGACCCCCAGCTGTGCCGCGCCGCCGTGTGCGCAGCGTGCGCTTGCACGGAGCCGCGTGCGCGGCGCCTCCTGCTCGCTCTTGGTCAAGCTGCGCTGGGCCGCCTGCAACTCTCGGCTGAGCTTCTTCTTGGCCTCGCGCAACTCCTGCAGGCGAGGCAGGGCGCGGGGACGGCCGGCGCGGTGCACCCTTCTCACGGCTGACTAGAAACGCACCAAGCGTGACCAGGAAGGGATGGAGCTGGAGAACACAAGGTCGGACGCCCATGACCTGCGCGTGGGTCTCCAGTGGTGAAACACCATGTTTCACCCTTCGCCGATGGAAGGTGAAGGAACCGAGCGAGAGAGAGGGTACAAGCTGAAAAATCTTCATGAAAGGAATGCTTCGCCAATAGAGGGGTTTCGGAACACAAGGCTCCGAATGTTTGCAAGAAATATTCCATCACTGGGCTTTTCCAGGAATTATGATCAAGGTCCAGCCAAGCAGGCACTGCAGCCTGGAAGGTTGCTCGAGCAGTTAGGCTCTTCCGTCTCTCGAACTGCTCCAAGGTTGGGGCAAAGCAACGCAGAAGAAAGTTGCAAACATCCTTTCTGCCAGGAGTCACAAGGAGTTGGGTGGTGTGGCTCGTCCCATCCAGGGGCCGTGGATGTGACGTTCGGGGCACCTATACTCCGAACCTCTGTTCGTTCGGCTCCTCGAGCTCTGTGACACCTTTCTGGGGACGACCAGGACTTTCCCACTTCCCTTCCGTCCTGCATGGTCTAGTACAAATCTAGAATCGATCTCAATTCTTGTTGCAAAACCAGTGGGTTGACCATCGCAAGGTTTCTCTCCAAAAGCTGACCGGTCCGCGGCTTCGGCTCCAGGCTGAGCCCCCTTAGCTAGCTAGCAGTAGAGCCCAGGCTGCTCCGTTCGCGATGCGATGCACCTGGTTACCTAACCGCCGTGAACGGCGCCTCTCCTGCACGCGCTTCCGCTCCGCCAGCTTCTTCTGACGCTCCTGGTGGACCCGCGATGGTTCACCGAACTGTCCACCAGTTCATTTGAGTGGGGTGTCTCCAAATGTCCGAAGGTGACCTGCAAGTTGATCTGCTTCTTTCACGCCCCACTCCGCGCAAAGGCCAGTTCCAATTGCCCCCATGACCCAGCTCCAAGCTGCTGGAATCCACCGGAAAAAGGAGCAGATGTTCTACAATGGATTCTTGGCCCAGCATGGTTTATGGTTTCCCGGACGCGACCCTGGACCCTCAACTGCTTGTTTGAGGGTCTGAGGGTCAAAACCCTAGCTATTCGGGTCCAATGAGCGTTTGGGTTGAATCTACAACCATTGTTTGACGAAGCATGTGATCATGTTTCGACCTTCGATTGCACCGGAGATTGATGGACCTTCAACGGAAGGTGTCAGGTGTCGGGACGTGCTCTGCACTGAGGGACCGGCGCCATCCATGCGTTTCGATGGCGGGACCGCGCACCGTCCATCCTCGTTCTTCTGAGCTGTCTCCAACTCCTGCAAGTCAACTTGGCTCGAAGACCGGAAGCTGCCGAATGTTTTGAGGGGTTCAATGAAGGGGTATGTTTGGCCTGGGAAACTTGCTTAAGGCTTTTAGAATCCTGGGGGAGGATCACTTTGGCAGCATCTTGCCCCAGTTTGGGAGTCCTCCGTCGGCAGCAAAAACGCGTGGACGCGTCGTTTCCCCACCCGTTGGTCGATGTGTTGGTCCGAGGGGAAGCCAGGCTGCTTTCGAACCAGTCCTCTCATGACTCGTTTTACCCCCCATGGCAGTGGTGGATGGATTAACTACCAAGTGGATAAAAATGAGTCAAGTCACGGAAGTTCGTAAACAGGAAGCCAGGAATGCGTTTCTCGGCAGGCGGCAGGCGGCAGGCTAGTGGAAGAGGGGCGGCCGTTTCTCGTCGCGAATCCCAATGCTGGCTGAATCACTGGTTCGTTGGGCTTCCAGCTCATTCCCCCTCTCATGCTTTTTGGTTATATACCAATCTCCTTCTCCCACCAACCCAATCTACCAAATCCACCGAAGCATGCTCTAATCCTCTGTAGTTCCAAGAATTCCATCGAATACCTGTCTTTCCCGCACGTCCAGCAAGAAGCAGCACTTGGACCCGCACGTCCGCCTCTCTTTTGCAAACAGGTCTTCGAAGTGATTCATGCCGTACTCTGTATGACCCCCAAGTAAACCCCCGTTCCTCCTTCTCACCCATCTTCTACCACCAAAATCACCTCCCCACCCCGCGCCCGGCGTTTGCGCGCCCGCGCTTTGCGCGCCCGCGCCCGTTTGGGATCCCGCTCCTTCACTCGGCTCATGAGCTCTGGATCCCGCTGGGGCGATTGCCCTCGTCCACCGCGTGCCGTGGCGGGCCTCATCCTGACCGGTGTCCCGCCCGGCGTCGATCTGGCGTCGATCTGGAGGGCGGGGGCCGTGGCTTCGGGTCCGTGGCCAAGCCCGGGGGCCTCCAACTTCGGGATTAAACATGATGCTCAGAGGGAGGGCGGAGGGTATGAACCTTGGTTGAACTTGGTTGAGACCAATTTGTGGAAACTATAAGGTATACCAGGAAAAGTGGACCAAGGACCAGGTCTTCGAATGTCAGATTACCAGGTGCTTCAATTCCTCCCATCAGGTCATTGAGGTCATTAAGGGGTTAATGTAGACTGCTGATGTAAAAAAACCTCCTGTAGGCACATGTCAAACCATTCTGGAGTTGTATACATGGGTCCATTCATCAACAGTCAACGGTGTGCAGGAGCCATTTCCACTTGCTTCTCCTTTTGGCGTCCTCCTGTCTGTGCCCGAAATTCATCCAACATGTCAAGGCACGCAAATATGTCGCAAGGATCAAAGGGTGCTGCGGTGCTCGCGCGCAAGCGGCGGGTGTCGTTCAGCCAAAAGGGTGCTGCGGTGCTCGGCGTCGACCCCGTCGACCCTCCAGAACCGGGTGCACAGGCTCCACAGGGTTTCGGTGCCACAGATGGCATGATCAGGCCACATGAGTTGATGAAAAACGGTCTTTAGTAGGCAACCATGGTTTTTACGAATTTGGTCATTGAACGCTAGGCCCTACAGGAAGATTAAACAGGAAAGATGAAACTATGTCGATTTCACCGGCAGCAATATATTTATCCCCTACCAGCACCCTCCAACAAGTCACCAATCCTCTTAGTGCCTAACTAGCCTCCAAAGGAGACCTGTAGTGTCGGGAGCTGGTAGATGTTCGCTCACGCTCCCCAAGAGCACATGGAGAAACAAGTGTCTGGACACTGACCCCGACTCATTCGAAGGTTGAGCCCCAACATCTTCACATTGGAATGAAACACCAGTTGGCTATCAGAGTTGGACGGACCCCGGACTGGACCAAACAGATCCGTCCCGAGAGTCCAACGGCCGATCCCGTCGTGGAAAGAGGGCGTGGCGTGGCGAAACCGCAGGAGGAGGGAGCCTCACTTTTAAAGCTGGGGGAAACCCCCAGTCCCAACCAGAAACAAGTCTGGATGCTTCCGGATGAAGCCTAAACCACTGATCCGGTCTTTTCCGGATCTGAGGGGTTGTTCAACCAGCGCCTGGAGGATGAGCTTTGAAACCACCAGCACTTGACTCTACGTGTGGGTGGGAAGGGCCCTGTTAGAGGTCAAAGTGTGGCCTGGCGATCCCAGTCGTTTGCGTCTCACCACGAACTCCCCAGCCCCTGAGCCAGGCCTTGTTGAGCCACGGACGGTCGGAAAGCGTCTCGTCGTCGTTCGGCAGGTCGTTCAATCGATACCCCCCGCCTCTCAGCTTAGAAGGATCCCATGCGGCATGGTCTATAACCGGTCCGCCTGGCACGAACCGTCTCCCACACTGTCCAGATCCAGAGATGGACGGCCAACGGTCAAACGGCACTGTCGTTCCTGTCCCCTGGAAAATCTCGTGCACATGTTGCTCTTCGCTTGTTGTGTGTGAATTTCTCATCCTTGCTATGGAGGTGCGAATCAATCAAGAAACTCTGCTTCAGCTTAAGGCATGAAACTCACTTGGTGACCTATGCTTACGGATCTTCGTTTTGTCCTTGAAGAATCAAAGAAAACCACATGGTGGTGGCTCAGCTAACCTGGTCGAGTGATCATTTTAGCAATGAGCAGTTTTGCATCGCCCTTTATGACACTGGGCCATAGTCATCTTCGGACATTCCGAGCCGACAGTCCGCTCCGGCGAGGAATGTAGAATAGCAACAACTGCATTAACTGTGATCAGTGAGCAAACACCTATTAACTGGTTTGCTAACCTGCTTCTGGTTGAAGCCACCTCCGATCTGAGAGACCGAGAGACCGGTCAGGCCTGGTCAAATGAAGAATCCTGCAGCCCGGATGATACCAATATATTGGATATATTGGAACAACCATCTTGTTTCTGATTGTTGGCTTTCCAGGTATGCAGCACCCCACTGCCAGGTCACCCATGCAGACCTCCAACAGGGCCCAACAACAACGCCCTCTATTTCGGAGACCTTCTTTGAGTCGGGTGCTGGCATATATTGGATAAATGAATCGCTTTGTAAATCCCTCGCAGCTCTTCATTGCCAGAGGTGAAGCCCCCAAGGACACATGACTCACATCAACCGAACCCGCGCGCGGTGATGACTCAACATGTCGTGCTTCACAACATGCACTTACACCACAGTCCAAGCACGTATAGTCTAGTTCCCAATGAGTGGCACTTCCTCTGCGGACTAACCCGCTGGGAGAGGTTTCAGTGGAGTGAGTGAAAACCCCCCTGGAAATGGTCGAAGACGCATGGTCTTCCTTACTCGGGGTGCCATCTCGGTCTTCGCACCTTCGGTTTTCTTCGGTCTTTCGGGGGGAGGAGAGGTTCTCCGGACTGGCGCCCAAAGGGTCTGGCAAAAGAAATTGATTGTACCAGGGGTCACAAGTCGGGGTGGTGTTTGTTTAGTCCCATCCAGTGAGTGGTACGAGTATGTGTGAAACTCCTGGTATATAAACAATGATGATGTCATATCCCAGGACCTTCCAAGATCTAGAGGTGCCTATAAATAGGTATCCATTGAGGTTAGGAGTCCCAAAACCACCGAATTTGGAAGGCCCTGGTCATCATGTGCTCCGTCCTACGTTCCTCACCACAGCGACACCCACCGACGCGGGCGTCTCACCGGCGCCATCACCAACTCCCAGACGATTCCGTTCCAGAGCAAGTCTGGTCGGACGGAATAAAAAACCACTGAAAACAAGGAACTTCCTTTGCTGAAAACATCGGTGGACTGTTTGAACTTGGACCAAACTGCCATGGCACCTCCCAATGCTCCATTTTCTAAACCTCCTGCGATGAATTGCAGTCACAGGAGCCCTACCTGCATGGCCAGCCCCGGGCGGCTAGGCAAGAAGCAAGGCGCCCAAGGGCTGCAACCTTTCTAGGTTCCACACGGCCTTTCCCAGTACGGCCGGCGCCGTACATAGAGAGAGCCCACCTGAACAACACCTGAACCTCACATTCCGGTTACACCTGCGCCACGCACGCTCTTGGCATCGCCAGCCGCCGATGGAGCTGGCGTCGTCGCACCCAATTCCGGTGAAACGGCGAGACACGCGGCGCTTCGGCCGCCCGAAGGGGGGTCCTCAGCGTCTGAGCCTGAGAACCAGACGGTACGAGAAGCGAGCGTGTGGTTCCGTGTGCGTTCAATGCTGTTGAACACATGGATCCCTTTGCACAGCTTGCTGGGAAAGCTGCAGAACGACCCGCTTCCGGGCCAATCTTCCCGGGCTGCCGCGCACGCCGTGTCCCGAGCGTCCACTGCCCGGACGAGGTCCGGCGGGCATGGTGCCTCGGTGTCGCATGCGCCACAAGGACCCTGGCGACCTCGGGTCCAGGTGCTTTATGTGGTGCATTATAAAGCCGGGCTAGGGTTCTAAAGCCAGCTCTGGAAGTCCCGGTGGATAGGCTACAAAAAGAGGATATTGGAAAGCATCGTATCGTCCACAGATTGGTGCCACCTCAAAAATGCATGTGCAATTGTGGCAACCAGTGTGAAAACAAGCCTTGAAGAGACACCAAGGCCCCTTGGCAAAGGCCCCTACTGACGCTTATAGTAGGGAATATTGGAATGAGCTCCCAAGAGCGATTCCTTTGCATCCAGTCACCCTCATTCCGTACGACACGCACCAGTCAGATGTCTGCCCTGGACCCAACCAACAACGGCCCAGGTCGCCCAGGAAGAGACCGACAGCATGAGTAATGCTGAACAACCCCCAAAGTAAGGAGACCTATTGGTGTAGAGTTGGGTGCTGGATGGATTCGCACCAGTGAATGTCCCGCGTTTTTCCACATCTGATCCATTGAACTTCGTTGAACGTTGTTTTATCCTTGTGAGTCCAGTACGTGTGAGTCCCCATAGACCGAGAACGTGACCTCTTTTGGGAGGGAGGCCATCGCTGGTAAAGACCATCGCATGCAGGGTCCGAAATGTGTGTCTCAAGGCCAACTCCTGATCTCGTTCTATCTCGAGACCGACGGTCTCAAACGGGCCTCTTCCAGAGCTCAAACGAAACTGCTTGGCCTCCAGACAGCATGTTTGTGTGTTCGCGTCAGACCCGCACAGAGCCCCGCCGAACCGCCTTGACCTGCCTTTCCAAGGCCTCGAACGGAGGCCTTTCTGCCGCCTTCATCCAAGTCACCCTCAATGACCTCCGGGTAGCTTTGAAGCATCTCCTCAAAACCTCAAACAACCACGCGTGGACTGGAGAAGTGTGGGAGTCATCCAGTGGGGGGAGTTCACCTTGAGGAATTGGAAGGCACCCAAAAACCTCCCTCCTTTCCAATCAAAACAAGGATCATCTCCAGGTTGAAACTCCTTTGACGAATAAGGATGGCATGCCAGAAGAGGTTTTGGATGAAGACTCCCTTGACCAGACCTTATAAAAGATCCGCGCGTGACGCCCGGAGCGCCGAGTTCTCCCCTACCAAGTTGCCGTGGAACGACTACCACCCTCCAAGCTCCGGAGTGGAACCCGGTGACTTCGGGGTCCAGGTTCACCAAATCTTAAAACCGGCTCCGAACACCACCCCCCCGGAAGGTCCTAGCATAGATACCAAGTCTGAGATTTGGAGCTCTACAACGTCTCAGATCCGACCGAAGCCAAACGCTGAGCTTCCCGTCCGCCGGTCAGCGCGTGCACATTCTCCCAGCCCTCGCCGTGAAAGCAACACGTTTTGGAAACAAGATGTACCAGTATATACCTGGAAACCCAGGCACTATTAGGTTGGAGGCCATCGCTTCTAGGTTGGAGGCCGTCGCTTCTAGGTTGGAGGCAATCCCTATTAGGTATCAAAGTGGAACTAGTCCCAGCCACTTCCTATGTAAAGGATCTCAAGCTGGCACCATATTGGAACCACTACCAGCACCCGACTCTACAGGTCTCCTCTAGAGGGTTGTTGGGCCGTGACAGGTCTCGAGTGATGCCCTGCTGGTCCAAGTGTTTTTGGTTGGGAATTGTTTTTAGAATAGTTTGAGGGCGCATGAGTTGTATTTGATAGGACAAAGAAGAGAATCGACCGGATTCAGATTCCAGTTGTGGGTGACTGCGAGTTCTGGATGGCCCCTGATCTTTTCTGTCGAGGAACACATCACACAGAACCATTATACTCATTGCTCTATCAAAAAGCACGTCACGGAGTCGCAGTTCAACGTGAAAAAAAAACTGCGCTCTCTCTCTCTCTCTCTCTCTCCCTACGAAAGCCGGCCGGGGTTGTCTCCGACCGGCGAGGCCGAGGGCGAGGCGAAGCGGGAGGTGAAGCGGCGCCTTTTCCACCAAGAGCCGTGCCACGCCGATGGTCACCGCCTCGTTGGACCCGTAGACCACCTCACGCGAAGAGCGAAGGTGGAGCGGCTGGGCGTCCATCCCGGGTTCCCAGCTCAGCTGAGAGCGGGACGGGGACAGGGACAGGAAGAGGGACCCCGAAGCAACGGGGAAATCCAAGGGAAAACCGAACAAAGAGGGCGGATTTCGGGCCATCCAGGCCAAGTTGATGAAAAAAAAAGAGACAAACCATCCTTCTTCTTGCTTGGGTGCAAAACCTGTCCAACACAACCCTGCTCAAAATGCAAAAAATGGATCGACCCAAACAGTGGATTTCTACCAAAGCAATCCCATCTCTGGAGAACATGGTTCCGCCACAAAACATGTAGTCTACTCTCTTCCCACGCTGTGTACCCTCTCCCACATTCTAACACCAGGAGCCACATGTCGGGGTGGTGTCTCTAAGTCTCCTCCAGTGAGTGGATGTTCCGGGCATTCCTATCCTCCCCGGTCCACGGCACCGGTTTGAAAAAACAGGGATTTCTTGTTGTCTGCGAGTTGTTCGTCTTTTGAACCTCAAACCTCACGACCTCTGGGTGCTCCGGCCAGCAGCTTCGAGGGCTCCCTCTTGCAGCGCAGCAGCTCAGGGATAAACTGGTCCTGGCGGTCAACGCCCCGCGTCGCCCCGCGTCGCCCACGGCCGGTCCACGTGTTTCACGTCCCAAACGGTCCTGGGACGGGCCAGTGGCCAAAGGGGCGGAGGGACAGAGGATGGGTCGAAGTATGCAGCATTCTATGTTCTTCTATGTTCTTCTATGTTCTTCTTATCCATTCTCATCCATTCCTCCAAGGTGGAGATCTTGGTGGGACAAGCGATCTGAGATTAACATACCAACAGTTCAGGCCGATCACCTGTAGTAGGCCTATAACAGGGGAAACTCGCACACTGAAGAGTTGGGACTTGAGAACTGACCAGGCCCTACCCTCGTTCTGGGCCCTACAAGACACAAATCTCAGGCCGGCCCAACTAAATCCACCTACAGGAAGCGATTGGATGCAGCCCTAGCCTTCCTGGCCCATTGATTCGGATCGAATTCCGAACAACCATTGTTGTACATGTTGACACAACACCTGGTCCACCGCGTTCAATATGTTCGATTAAATGGACTCCCAGGGTACTTGGGTCCATCTCTCTCTCTCTTCCAGTATCGGACTTCCACCCGACCGAGCGACCGGCTCGCGCTCGCGACCACGTTCACGCCGCGAAGAAACGCCCGCGGAACGCCGCGTTCGTTCACCCGTCTCGATTGATCTTTGGGGCTGGGTAGGACACGGCCAGCGGCAAGTGGCACTGCTCAAACCTCGGATCGAGACTCTTTGGGACTGGCCAACGCTGGGGACGGCGGCTCGACCGGCTGTCGCACCTGAAGGTCTTGGGCACCGATCGCCGGACCGAACAGTTTTACACTACAACACCAGGCTCGACGTTTTAAAATATCGTCTTGGAAGACTAGGCCATAGGGATACCGAACAACCCTTGTTTTTTACTACATGCAAGGTTTTACAGTTTTAAACCATGATCAACAAGAGGTCTTTAAAGATGTTAAAGGCTAGGAAGACCTTGGATGAACGTGGTGCAGGGCTTTGTGTTATAAAAGCGGGACCCGGAACGGATGATCCAGTAAGCTTTGCTCCGGTTTTCTCGAGCGAACCCGCTTCGCTCCTCATCTTCTAGGTGAGGAGCTTTCTTTACTTGAGTGGGGCAGAAAATAGTCAGTCACGAAATGTCTTTCACCAGGCGTCTTTCACTGGCGTCGCGGGTCTGGAACCTTCGCCCTCCCGTGTGCGAACGTCAGGCAAGTCAGGCAAGAAGAACCGAGGAGACCGACTCGTCAGGCTCTCGCAGATCCAAGAGCACCAGGTCTCGCTCCTGGAAACGGACAAATCCGAACCAAGCAGCTGGCGGCGAATCGCGGTTGCCAGTGAGATGAGGTGGTACGAAGACGTGGAAATCATGATACATCCATCGACATGCTGTGTGACCAAGCAAAAGCATGTGACTTCTACCAGTACCCGAAATCACATGTGGTCTCCGAAATGGAGATCTCAACTTGGTGAGTTGGAGGCTGCTGGTAGAAAAAAGGACACCTTCAGGTGTTGGTACAGTTGGAGGCGCTGGTGGGTGCCAAAAGCGCTTTGACCACGTTCACTCGCTTTTGCCTGCGTCGCTCCGTTCGTCCACCCGCTGTTTGTCGGTGATGGGAGGTCGAGCATCTCCACACCCGTTGTCCATACCTGCAGCACCTGCGGTGCCCTGTGCCAGGCACCAAATCCACCGGAAAAACCGGCGAAGAATGCCGTCGACACAGGTCCTCCTTTGGGACGTTTGGCCTGAAACCCAGTTCCAACCAGAAACACGTCTGGTGGTTCCAATATGGTGCCAGCTTAGAGATGCTTTTACATCGAGCAACCAGTTGCTGGGACTGGGCACTGGGGGAGCTCCACCACGTCCAAGCCCTTGAGTCCCACGCCTCGGAGACCGTGGCGTCGGTTTCCACGATGCTCACCACCGACCTGCTTCACAGAAAGTGAAGTGTGTCTCAACTACGTACAGTAGGTGTCATTTTGCAAGAACAATTATAAGAATGACTTCCTGGCAGTGCTGATGACGTGCTGATGACGTGAAATCCACAACATGGATCTTCGAAGTAACTTCCCTGCAAAAATAAGAAACTCTTCATACGTCCCCGGAATCTGCCCATCTCAGGGTCGCTTGGGGGTCGACGTCGCCACCATCTTAAAAGAAAGAATCAGAAAGTGGCAGCCGTGGCCCATCTTGGTGTGGATCCGGCGAGAAAGCCACCCAAAGAAGGCCCGCATTCGTATGATAAATATGTGTTCGAAAAGAATAACACATGAAAATGCTGTGGCCAGACCTTCTGATCTTTTCTTTCCTGAGGCGTATCAGGCTTCGCTCGCCCTCAAGTTCAGGCGTACTGCTCCCGCTCGCCCCGGCGTCATCGCCCCCGCGCGGGGCTTTTCGGCGGCTCGCCGGCTGACGTTGGCCAGCCGGCGAACATGCTGGCGACGGGTGAGGAGATGTTCAAGAACCCATAGTCCAAAAGATCCAATTGCACAAACTGGTGAGATGACGGAATGTGGTTTGTCGGCCACATAGCCGTTTGGAGGTCCAGTTTGATCGTCCGAAGGTTCCTTCACCCGGCTCAACTATGGACAGCCGCTCACGAAGGCCCCTGTTGAGGGCAGCCTGGTCGGAGCAAAAAGCTGCGGGTGCAGGTCGGAATCCAATCAGTTGGGACCGCCAACCACATATCCCAGCACCCGACTTCACAGGTCACCAATTGAGACCTGTTAGGGCGACAACAACAACCCTACATTTCGGAGACCTGTAGAGTCGGGCGCTGGTGGATGTGCATTTCAATAGGGAAATGCCCCAACCCAGCAGATTTGGGTTCATTGTTTTCTTGAGCGGGTTGAACTGGGAGGTTTTCTTTTTAATGCACACCCATATGTCCACGATTCGTGGCACGATTCCCTACATTCCCAACCTGACCAAATTCAATAATGCAAGTATGAGCTTCCCTTTGCACTCGCAATCAGAACAGTCTCATGTGCAGCCAGACTACCATGCACCAACCAAAAAAGAAACACGGTGAGCTCTGCTGTGAACACTTGGAACACCAAAGAACTTCTCTAGCACCCTTCGCTGTTCGCGCCGTGCGTTCACTGTGGAGTCTTAGGTGACGGCCTTCAGCGAAGGGTGGCAACCTGGAGAGTTGAGGCAACAGCATCCAGGACCTTCAGTTCGTGACCTCAAAACTGAAACCTCCTTACTAGGAGCAAGAAGCTACTAGGGGCTCCTCCTGGCGCCTCCTCCAACCTCTGAAGAGGGACGATTCGTTTAACCGAAAGTCCGAAAGGATCGCAAGCACTGACTCTCTGCCTGAAGGTTCTGGATGCCTTTTTCACTGGGTGTCGGGTTCGTGTCTTGATCATTGAACTGGTCCAAAGGTCTGTGAAATTCTTCCATTTCCGCAATGTCGCGGCTTCCCAAACGAGCCCCTCTTCGCCGGCCTGGCGCGGCTGCCGCCGGCCGCGGGCTTACAACAGCCGCCGGCTGCGTGCTGACTTCCTGGGCGGCTGGAGGCCTCCAGGGTCGACGCGTCCAGCAGCTGGTCGACGTAGTCGGGCATGTGCTGCAGAAAATCCCAACCTCGCGGGCGAAGCGAAACGGGCCTTTTCCCGCCCTGCATTTTTTGGGGCTTGCACGAAAGCATGTGCATTTTAGTGAGTTGTACAGTTTGTACACTTTTCATATCTTTTCATCATAAAGGTTGTTGAGGTTGCCAATTTGGCTGTGGGTCACGGCACCCGATCAAGGGCTTGACCTAGCTGGAGAGCTACCGTTTGCGGACCATGGTGGACTGGTCGGGCTCTGTCATTTGACCACATCGACCGAGAGACTGCGACCAACCGTGGAGAGCAGGAGACGATGGCCTCCCCCTACTAGCGATGGCCTCCTGAAAAAATCTGCTCCTTGACCCCCGGTATAGAGACGACTTTGACACGGTCTACACCCCTCAGAGCTACAAACATGGAGGTGTCTCCCGATGCGTGAATCATGGAACGTGACCCCTGCCAGATGCCCATCCCGACAGCTATAGAATATAAGCTATGGTTCCAGTCTTGTCCCATAAACCGATTCTTCAAGCTTGAAAGTGGAGTTAATGAGCCAATTGCTCGTGCATCTTGCATCCCTTCCCCTTCCCTTCTCCCAGAGGCGTGTCCAGGGCTCTTTCATGGGCGCAGAGCCCCGGAAAACCGGCCGCTGCGGCATTGGCTTCAACAACTTGCTCTTGGCTCTCTCAGGCGCGTCGTGGTGGCGCTTGGGCTCCTCTGCGGCGCAGGTCTTTTCCATGTACCTCGAGGCCCAAACACGTCGTCCGCGTTTTGGGCGACGTCCACACACCCCGGCGGTTTCCTTCAGATGGGGCGGCGCCGCTGTGGTTTCCAAGTTCAGGTCACCAATCTCAAAGAGGAGTAGTATGGAGAAGGGCCCAGGGCGGCTTCCAAAGGGATCGATCATAGAACGATGTGTGGAAGCGAGAAAGAAATTGACATTGTTTGTTTTTGCCAAAGCTTAGGATCAATCACCCAGTTCGGAAGCAAAACAAGGCCCCTATGGTCCGCATGCCCCAAAAAGTATGGTCCAAGCACCTGAGTACGTGCTGTGCCACGGCCGACGGCGGCTTGCGTCCGAGAACGGCCCCACCATAAGTGAAAGACCCTCGATCATCCTGGGATCGATCTGAAAAACCAATGCAACATGTCTCGCGGGTTGGGTGAATGAAAGGGCAATGGAAAAGGCATATATGTAGAGCCGGAAGAGATAGATATGAAGGGATGTCGATGACATGTCGACCCCCCTGGAATCCATGTGGCTTGGTCATGTTCTTCAGAAAGCGCTCGCATGCACCTTGTCTTTTCGGTGACGAGACACCCATCGTCAGGTCTGGAATCTTTGAGTGGGGTAACAAGAACTGCTCTCGACCGAGAGTAAAGCGAACTTGAACAGGTCACGTCGGCCTGGCGGATCGTCGAAGGAGGAAACTTGACCGGGACCGTACTATCTTTGGACGCTCCTGCTAGACCAACCAAGCACTGCCCACCCCACATGAGATACCAAAACAAGATCGAGGTCTGGAGGGGGCGCCGACCGGTCTCATGAGACACGATGAGACGTTTCTCTTTTCGGGCAAAGGACGGAACCCGTCGGAGGAGGCAGATCCCCTGGAAAAGAGCTGATGTGGGGAAGTGGATCCCCAAACAAGGTGTTGGCCGGTTTCCGGATCCCCTCCTTTCCGGATCCACGAGCTTCGATGGGCGTTGACGGCGGCGGCGCCGCGCCTCTCTTCTCCGTCACCGCGGCCGCGGACGGCGGCGGCACCGCCGCGCGCCGCAGGCGCGCGCGCTGCACGCGCAGCGAGCGGCCGCGGCTGGGTGGGCGGGCGGCGGTGGGGCTCAAGAGCTCCTGCTCCAAGGTGGAGAAGTCCTGGCCGGCCGTCCGGCCCATACACCTGAAGGGACCTGGGAATCAGGACTCGGGGAGAAAGCTCTAGAAATCGAATAACATCGCGCAAAAAGAGAGATCGATCTTTTTCAGCGCTCCCGTCCGGGGAGGAAACAACACTTGATGGTGTGAGAGGAAGCGTGTCTTTGGAGCATCCCAATGCATCCCATCGTCCGAAACTCTCAAGACTCTCCAGTAGAAAAAGCGAAAAGACATCAAGACTAAGACTCTCTGGGACCTGAAAAAGTGGCCGAACTTGATCTCCCAGTTGGTTCGGTCACACGTTGGCGAACGGGCCTGGGAAAGACATGTCACTGGCGCCTCCGTCACGAACTGAAGAAGCTGGAACATGTATCCTCCCTCCAGCAATCATGGAAGCTGACCAGGACCCCGTTGTAGAGGAAAATGGTCTTCTAGGGGCCGATGTTCCACTTCCATGATGGTTTCAGGGAGTGTAAAAATTACTGGTGGGCCAAGCTTAGCTTGGGGACATCCTTGGGTGGCTGGGTAGATGCGTCTCCATCCTCTCAAACCTCCCCAACCCAACCAGACTCTGCGTGGCACGCCGTCACCCAAGAAGTCCACCGAAGTCCACCCCACCGACGGTACCACCCCGTCCCAACCAGAAACAAGTCTGGATGTTTCCCCAGTCCATCCCACCACCAGCCTCACTGCACCGCTGGCTGTAGGGAATGCTCCGCTGGATGCCCTCCCGGTAGTCCGACTTGTGCACGTGCTTCGACAAGGCGTAGCGCAGCATGGAGCACTCAAAGGCCAAGGTGCCATGCATGGAATGCATGATGAAAACCCAGGATGCGGCCACGGCTTGCTACGACCGGCTGTGACTTTCTTTTGTTTTCGGGTGCACAGACTGCTCTTTGCAGAAAGCTCGCGACAGTCTTGAGGGTGGAAGTAGAAATCCAACATTGGAGGACATCAACACATGCTTCGTTTGTTTCAAGGACCGGTGTCAAACGCGATGGTTCACCAATCGGTCACGGGAAAAAGAAATGCCGCTTCAGCATGCGACGGTCTTTAAGGATGTTCACTGACACACTGCTGAAGCGGGCAAAGACTCTGATGGTTGTGCAACTGGACCATGGTCAAAGTCGTGGGAGGCTAGTGCGAAACTGTGATAAGATTTGTTGATATTCTTGGGTTGTGTACTTGTTTGATCTTTTGGGGGGCAGCTCAGAAATGATGAATACCCCCAGTCTTGTTTTTGGAGGGTGATTCCCATGCCCCCTCTCTTCCATCTGGGCCGGTCGCATGTCAAATATGTGCTCTGGGTGAGATGGCAGCTTGAGCAGGAAGCAATGGCGTGAGGCCACCGTTATGTTGGGTCGACGCTTCGTGGAATGCTCCATCGTTCCCTGGTCCAGCTTGTAGGGTCTCAATTGATCTCAATTGGTTGGTTAAAGGGAAGATCTGCAAGAAACCCATGGGTGTCACCAGTTTTCTATGGGTGTCCGGCCGATTGTCCCTTATATATATATATATAATAAACCAATTTGGCGAACGGCTTTAAACGTGAGAAGTTGGGTCTACAAGAATCCAGGCTCCAAAGATGTTGGGAGCAGGCGCCTTTTCGATGCACGTTCCAATGTTCAAGCATGAAATCCCACATATACCAGCACCCGACTCTACAGGTCTGTCTCCTCGTTGGAGGAGACAGTTGGAGGGATGCTGGTCATGTGTTTGTTCGATGCCTTGGCCTTGCTCGAATCCCATGTCAAAACGTCTCCCAAACTCTCGCCAAACCCTTTCAGACCCCGAACCTCCCAGAGTCGGACGGGATCCGCCTCCCCACGTCCTTCGATCCGTCGAAGTCGAAACCTCTTCCGGTTCCCACGAAGGAATGGGGCGGACCAACTGGTTGTTCATTCTCCTCCGGATCTCGGGGCGTTCTTGCTCCTAGTAGCGTGGCCAGGAGCCCCTAGTAGTTTCTTGTTCCTAGTAGCGTCCTTGTTCCTAGTAGTACGGCCAGGAGCCCCTAGTAGCATCCTTGCTCCTAGTAATTAGCGTGGCCAGGAGACCCTAGGAGATAGTTCTTATATCTGTGGACCGTCCGGCGAATTCTGACTCTGTCACTCGAATCCGACTCGATCCTTTCTTCAGCCAACGAGTCGTGCCCACCCACCCCAACGACACGACCCGGCTCCCACCCGACCGTGGCGACCGTGGCGACGACCGTGGCTCTTCTGGGTGCCCGACCCCGCGACGGAGGTCACCGAGGCCACGCTGGGCGGCACCGGGAGCGGGCCCTGGCGAGGCAACCGTGACGGCCCGGTCCTTTTGACTCTAAACCTTTGCACACTTGACCCTAAACCTTCGTAGCTCCCACTCTAAACCTGTAGAAGCGCCACTCTGAACCTTCGAGCCGAGAATTGTCCTTTACACAAGTCCCAACTCCACGGGCCCAACGGGACCCACGGGACCAACGGGGCCTGGACGGGCCCGCCCTGACGGGACTAACGAGATTGACGGGACGTACGGGCCCGACGGGACCCACGGGCCCATTCACAAGTTCGATCGAGCTATACAAAAGCATACTTGCCTATATATAGAACCACTTCGTCGGCAGTAGTTGCCAGGACAATCTCTCGATGCAAGTGTGTGCATTAGCCTAGCCTTTCCTCATAGGCTGGAGTCTGGAGGGCAGCCCGCGAGCCAAGAGCCAGGACACAGCACTCCAAACACAAGCAATCACAATCGATAATTACAGTTCATGAAGCGACGCCCTTCAGACCCTTGAGAGCAAATGCACAGAAGAGTTGCTGTAGCAGGACGACATATTAACATGAATTCAAAAAACTCAAGGAACTAATGCGTAGGGTTATCGTCTTTTTGGGGGATGCCCCCTATCGTTTTTGAGGAAAACACAAAATCACACTCTTGGATGAAACGCCCTTGTATAAGTATTTTTGAAAAGGACTCATATGTCTTTGCTCACCCCTCCCCAGTAACCTGCAAACGGGTAACCGCGACATCAAGTGAGAAACATCATCTGTCATCTCTATCTCCAGCTGCTCAAATCGATCACAGTGAGGCTGTCTAGCGATAAGGTTCTTTTTCTGGCTATTGACAATATATGACATTAATTGACACGAAGACCGACTGTCGACATGAAAAGATGTCATGTGTACACATCGTTGTTTGAGAGCCCGAGCCCTTGCTAGCGATTCAGCGGAGACACGGCGTGAAACAGTGCTTGATCATTTGATGGAGGGCCGAACCTTAAGGAAGGTCACTCTAAACCTTGCCAGGCTCACTCTAAACCTTTAGAAGCAACACTCTAATCCTTAAAAAAGGGTCACTCTAAACCCGGACTTGCTCACTCTACACCTTTTTGTAGGCTTGGCCTCTCAAAGGTTTAGAGTGAAAAAAATTGATTTCAGCAGCCATTCCAAAAAGGCCCTCGGCCAATTACTTTTTATCAATGATTCAATTGGGTCGGTGCTCAAATCTGGACAGTGGCCCTTTTGACTCTAAACCTTTTGGAGCCGGGCTCTCCTCGGTCCGGTGCCGGCAGCTGCGGCTCTCGAGTCGGACCCCGACATGACCTGCCTTGGACCCGTATTTTGGGGGTTTGGTCTTGGGGCCCCGAAAAGCAAAAATCGACCCCATGGTTCCACACAGACTGTGGGCTGTTCAAGCTTGCTATAAGCTATACATAGCTATACCACAATGTCCGTCTCACTCGCCTGTTTTTCCCTGCGGGCGCCTTGGAAGCGATCACCGAGCTGCAGCCGTCGCCGCGCTCCACCGTGCCGGGGCCTCGAGGGGTGTTCCGACGCCGAGTGGAACCTCGTCCGACTTCGGGTGTTCCTAACGGTCCGCTTCTGGCGGCCAGGTGAGGTGGTCCCCTGTTTCACAGGTGGCTGGTACCCTGAAGCTTCACGGGTGGACACACGGTCCACGCTCCGGAGGTATTCTCAGGCGGCGTGAGACTCAAAAGCCGAACGCGAGCGAGAACAAATGCAGAGAAACACTGCCCAGAAGAACGTGGCTCTTCAGTGCCAATCGAACCTGAGAACCTCGTGCGTCCTAGGTTTGGGGATGTTTTGCGCACCGATCAGGAGAGATCTTAAAGAACCGCAGCTGTGCCAACTTGAAAAAGGGATCAGAAGAGAAGTGGATGAACCTCCAGGATTCAGAACTCAGCGCCGAAAAGGGCAGGGCATTGGGTGGCTCACCAAAGGTATACCCTTCCCTTTCCTCCCATGACCCACTCTCATGTCTCTGCTAGTGTGGCTCGTGTGGTCCAGTATTGGGGGTTGCGGTAAGAGCTGAGTTTGAAGTCGTAGGTCGTGTTCTCGCTTTGCCGAGATGGTGGCGATGCACGTCTGGCAGAGAGGCTAGAATCGAAAAAAATGAGTGCGGCCTATACAGACACACCTTGAAACAGGCCTGTCTACTACCAGGACCCTCCAAGGGGTGTCCAAAGGACTACCCCACACTGCCGAAAAAGGCTTCCAAACAGGGCATCCCTTGGAGGGTCCTGGTATATACAGGCTTGTTTCAAGGTGTGTCAGAACACACAAACCTGCCATTGTGTTCACCGTCAGCGCTGTCGACTGGACCACTGGTGGACCATCGGTGGAAGCGTCACCCTCGACCGCCGACGCCACGCGGGGAGCGCGGGTGGGCCAAGAGGCCCATGGCATAGACGGACTCGGACACCTGACGGGGTGGAGGCCAGAAGCTACTAGCTTGCAGGCCAGACGCTCCTAGGGTGGAGGCCTGAAGCTACTATAGTAGCAAGAAGCTACTAGTGTCGGTCGCTGCAGCGTCAGCGCGGTCAGCTGGATACCATGGATCGTTGAGGGGCCACAGGCGTCCTTTTCGTGGCTCCTCCCGGCACTGAGCTCCATCCGAAAGGATCCAAAGACCAAACCCAAAACATCCCTACGATCCCCCTCCCCATCCAAGCTGGGCTGAAATCCACAGGAATCGGAGCCACCCCGAAGTCCGGAGCTCGCGGACCTCGGTCGCGTTTGTTCGGCGCCCGCCTCGCGCTCCTGGAGCAGTCGCACCAAGGTGCTCGGGCGGATCCGCTTGAAGATCTGCGAGGGGCCGGGGAGGCAGAGGAGCCGAGGCACTCCATGGACCACTTCATTCACTTTTAACATCTTTTAACTTAAAGTTCACAACTAGACTCACAGACTAGACTCCGAAGACCACTAACATCCACGAACTCTCATGTTGCATCTGCAGTACTGTAAAGTCTTCATGAAAGTTCCGTCCCCCAGAAGCCAGCTTTGTCAGCTTGAAAAAGTCGTCTGGGAGGAGGTTGATTCATGAAACGCCTACAACTCTCATGTTGATCGGTCCATCCGTCCACATCCCCGTCTTTAATTCATCCGTCGTCCACCCGTGTCGTCTCCGCGTGATCGGCCTCATCCTTCCGCTTGGCCGTGACGTTGGCCGAATGCAGCTGGCCGAACCACGAAAGGGCCGAACCACGGCGGATTTCGGGATCAGGTCGAAGGGGTTGGATCGAGTGGGTGTCCATGAAGTGTTTGGGACTGGGAAAGAATGGGAATGTCGGAAGTGAGCATGTGAGTGCACTAGCTTCAGATCTCATGATTACGACCACCAACCTAGTGGGTGCGCAAACCTCCGCCAAGAGTGACCAGTCGTAACGACCTAGTCCGAACGACCTCGTGAGTCCGTCCGGAGGAGGCCGCTGGAAGCGAGAAGCGACAGCATAGGACCACGAAGAACAGGTCTTCCCGAAAAGCCAGGTGTTTGGGGGCGCCAAAAAAGGGATGGACTTTGGTGGAATTTGAAGGTCCATCAAATTCGCGCCAAACTGTGACCTCCAGGGCTCTTTCCAACTGGCGCCACTCTCCATTTCGCACTAGCAGAGTCGGATGCTGGTACACGTGTTGTTTTTGTTCATGAATGTTCTTCAGCCCCGAACACAGACGGGCCCCTCAAACACATAGCGTTTCGGTGGAGAAGGGACCCCTGCCATGGAGGGGTAAGGGATCAAATAAAAATAAAAATAGGTTCAAAAAAAATATTCAACGGGGATCAATAAAAAAAATAAAAAGGTCATCAAAAAAATATTCTAGCCACTGAGGATGGTTGGGGTAGTAGTAGTAGTAGTAGTAGCAGTAGCAGTAGCAGCAGCAGCAGTACCAGCGTAGCAGTAGCAGTAGCAGTAGCAGTAGCAGTAGCAGCAGCAGCAGCAGAGCAGCAGCAGGAGGAGGAGGAGTGAGTAGTGAGTAGTGAGTAGTGAGTAGTGAGTAGT